CGGCACGAGTCACAAATTACTTGACAGCACACACAACAACAACAGGTTAGGAGGCCATTGTTTGCACATTTTGTTTGTGTAGTTGTTCCAGGAGGTGTCTGGTTGGCCATTCATTGAAAGCTGGACTTCTATAAACCTTTGCTGTGATCAAGAAAGACAAGTGCCTCTACTCAGATTAAATAACTGGTCCCTATAATATATTCCATAAAACCAGAACATGGGACTTGGTGATCAATAACTATTTATGTTAAATCCAACCCCAATATGCTCTCTTTAATGTCTAGATAAATCCATGATCCCTAAACTCTATCTATCTATCTATCTATCTATCTATAGACAGATAGACATTTCAAACAACAAAGCCATAAACAGTCATTGCCATGCTCAAAAATAGGTGCCATTTTTACTTACACACACACACACACACACACACACACAGTGCTGCACTGGATTTGAGTAAAAATTAATGCTATAATAGGAGTATCACATCCCTCTAATGCTTTTTTCCTTGTCCTCCTCCTATTCATTGTCTGGATGTGTCTGCGTTAGACTGCAAGGTAAAAATAAAGCTGCATAACTCTGCCTAAGCCTCTCAGCAAATCTCATATCCTGGATTTTCACCCACCTCCTTGAAAGCGAGCCTAACTCTTCCAAATGGCCAAAGAAACACAAGACCATTTGATGGCATGAAAACCTGCTGATTTTCTTCAACCTTGGTGCCTACTTTGCATCTCCGATCCAGGTGATACCTGGGCTAGGTGCCCTCCGCTACTTCAGCCCTAAATATGATGTTGCAAAATGACTTTGGGGAGAAGAACTTTTCCTTGTGCAGCAATAAATCACCCGGCTGTTTGAAATGTCTTGCTCTTTTTCAACTGAGCTTTGAGTCTGTGAAAAGCTCCTCGGTTTCCAGTTCCTACGGTGCAAAAGCAGCATGGGGGACCCAAACACTGTATTTCTGAAGAACCACCAAAAAAAAAAAAAAAACAGCAACCTTTTGTCCCTGATGCATGGGACAAGATCACAATATTTGCAAAAAAATGTAAACATTTAAAGCAAGCACCCGAGCAATCGTGCGAATCATGAAGGGACTGGAACAGCACCTGCAGTGCTCCTAGAAGAAACATGCTCCATCTCCTCTACATTCATTCTCCCTCCCAAACAAACTCTAAACTGGGGGCAAGTTGACATTTTCCAAAAGGCCTGGTCAGAGAATCATGGCTGAGAAGATGGAACACCAATAGTCAGCTTGGCAGATGGAATCAATTCCTTTCTTCCCTCGATGCATGCAATACTTGGAAGTCCTTTAAGGGATGTTGAAGACATCAAACATAACTTAGCCAACCCTCTTTCCCCAAAGCTGCCCATCTCTCTCTCTCTCTTGCTGTCATTCTCTTCTCCACCTACTTGCTACCATCACTCCATCCTGTTCCTCCAAGGCATCCATCACTCAACTCAACTCCCAGCATCCCCTCCAAAAAGAAAAAGAAAACCCACTTCCCCAGTGTCAAGACTCCATCCTCTTCCAACCAGGGATCCCTCAATTCCTTGCCAGCCGCCTCCTCATCCCAACAACCTCCTCACTTTGGCCCCCATCATCCCAACCTTTTCTTCCTCAACATCCCCCCTTACCATTTTACTCTCCATCCCACAACAGCCACTTGCTCCCTTTTAGCACTCTAAGTCTACCCCTAAATCTATCTACACACCAAGTAACCACCATCAGAGGCAGTGCACAAGATGCAAGGCAGGCACATGATTTATAATGCAAGCACACTGGAAGATATGTCCCTTATATAGGTCCTCGCACAACAAGGAGAACGGTTCCAAACCTTGTAAGGTTGCTTGCAAGAGGACTATATATGGGAAGATGCTATGGCAGGATCTGGTTGCCTCCCCAGCCTTGCAAAATAAAACAGCAAAGATAATACCGTAAATAAATCCCTGGAGTCTTTAGGCTTTTATTCTGTAGATGCTCCACTTCTCTGTTCACCTCCTGACATATAAGAAAACTGGTGCCACAAATAAAACTCTTGAGTCTTATGGGGGGAAGCAAACCTGATCCCTTGCCCCAAATGCATGGGAAGGGAGAAGCTTTGCAAGGAATCAGAAAGGGGGTGCCAGAGTGGGGTGAAAGGAGATGAAGAGCACATGCTGGAGAGACAGAGAAAGAGAGAATGGGAGCCACTGAAGGGTTCACTTCTGAGTAAGGAAGGAGAAATGGGGTCCAGGAAGATGAGCTGGGGTTAGGGTTAGGGTGAGCTGGGGATGATGGGGATGATCAGCCCCAGAAGCAGAGGAGGGGTGCAAAATGGGATACTGCTTAGAAGTAGGGTGAGGGAGGGTCGAATGGGACTAGGAGTTAAGGTGGGTAGCCTTATTTTGGGAGCAGGGAGCAGCAAAGTCCTGGACTGCAAGGCACCCCAAAAGAGATCAGTCTCTTCCCCCCCC